GAGAAGTTTCCCATGCGAGCAAGTCAGCACATTTGTTTGCCTCTCTAAAAATATGAACAAAAGTGACAGTCCAGTTTCTCATAGTAAGCTCCTTAATTTTCTTGATGATAACTGCTAAAAGATGATAATCAGAGAAGTTATATTGAATAAGAGAGAGGGATTCCATAGGGTCAGTATGTAAATTGATCTTTGTAAGATTAGCATTCCAACCAAGCTGAAGGCCTTCTAAAATGTCTGATAATTTGGCTGTCATACAAGGTTGATAGCCAAGATATTTTGAAAAAATTGATAATCTAATTTCTTTTTTTCATCATAGATGACTCCAATGCAAGCTGCTATGCTAAAGAAGTTAATAAAACCATCTATATCGAGTCTAACACACCTGCTTCAGGAGGACACCATTTAGCCTCAGATTTGAGTCTATCTTTATTTATAATATTCATTCTTGACAGAAACCACATATCATTTATAACTTGTGGGGTATAAGAGAAGGCAATATCTTTGTCTTGATTAACATCATCAGAGTAAATTCTCTTGCATCTCACTTTTCATATGTCCCAACAGATAAGAGCAAATAGCTTTTGCCAATTAGTTCTTCTTGTGCCAGTATTCCCTGCCTCATTTCTTGCATTCCAAGCTATCCAATCCTGCACATTCTGAGAGAAAAAAGTATTTGGTTTGGAAGGTTTGACTAGCTTTAGCCAGACCTCCCGTACTTCTTAACAATCACATAAAATATGAATTGAAGAATCAGAAGAGTTACAACTAAAGGTGTAGTTTTGTTGTATTTGATTACGCTTTTCATCTATTATAAATTGCCTTGTAGGCGATCCCAAGTAGCTTTTTAGAGGAAACATTGAATTTTTTCATAAGTATGTCATTTTTAAATTTTAGACCCAATATCAAGATTATTTTGAGATTCCAATACTTTATAGGCAGATTTTACAGAGAAATTTCCATCAAACGAAGGTCTCCAGTAAAGGACATCATCTTCACCATGAGGGTTAAGAGGTTTTACAAGAACAATTTGATTAATCACATCATGATGAAGATGGCGGCTAAGAAGGTTGAAATTCCATCTTCCTATAGGCGTGCATAAATCAAAGATTTTGGCATGAAGAATAGAATCAGCATTAGGGAGGGCATATCTGACAAGAGGTTAGGGAGAGGAGCCCATTTGTCGTACTAAAAAGATATTTGGTTATCTTTACCCACTTTCCATCCAACTTAAAACATGAAATTGTCCCAAATTTTGCAAATACTACTCCATGTGCAAGATAAAGAACTTGGTTTATAGACTATTGGAATAGTAGTTTTGCTGCATTTGTATTTATCCCAAGGGATCTAAACCTAAAGGCATTTAGGTTGAGTGATGAGACCCCAGCATAATTTCATGATGTAGGTGATATTTTAAATCTTGAAATTTTTGAGTCCAAGACCTCCATTTCTTTTATCCTTAATCACATAATCTCAAGAAAGGAGGTGAGGCTTTCTAATTTTATCAGAAGAGTTCCAAAGAAAGTTCCTCAAGCATTTTTCGAGTTTAGCCAAAACATTCTTAGAAATGAACATGGTTTGCATGGTATAGTTAGGAAGAGCTGAGAGGACAAAATTAATGAGCACCAATTTGCCAGCAATGTTAAGAAAACGACTTCTCCAACTAGTAAGGTGAGAAGCAACTCTATCAAGTAAAGGAGCAAAGGTGAGTTTCGCAATTTTCTCATGAAACAGAGGTATTCCTAAATATTTTTTAAGATTTCCAGTAAGAGGAATTTCTAAAGCATTACTAATCTGAGCAGCTTTAGTAATATTGACATTTCTAGAGCACAAAAGTTTAGATTTGGAGATATTTATTGTCTACCCTGAAACATTATAAAATTTTGAGAGACAATTTTAAATAATTGAAGCTTGAATAAGAGATGTCTCTGCAAAAAGTAAAAGATCATCAGCAAAAAATAAATGAAAAATGGGAGGGCCAATAGATATAAGTTTAATAGGCTTTCAATCATTTTTATCAATATTGTTATAAATACAGTGGCTTAAACATTTAATTCAAGAGAATAAAAAGATGAGGAGAAAGAAGGTTTCCCTATCTAATACCATGTGTGGAAAACATGGCGCGTATACCACGATTTGGTTCGTGATTTCCCAATTTTCATTAAAACAACACATGGAAAATCGTTACTATTTTTTTCACTTAATCATTTTTTCCCCCCGTCCGTCGTGACTTGTGACAAGTTGCTCTAGTATAGAAGGACATGAGAAGAAGAAAAAAAGTAGTTGGTTGCAAATAATAAATTGATGAGTCAAGTTAAAAGGCAATCCAATAACTAACAACCAACGTGAACCGATCCCAAATGTTAATACCCCTACCCACAATCTCCCATCATAATCCATACTTTACCTAATTTGCTTTCCATCAATTAATGCTTTTCCCTGCTCTCCAACTATACTCATTAACACCTATTATTTTCGCCCCTTCATCGTCTTCACTTCCATTTTTCACTTACCTTTATGAATACGAAAAATATGTAGTCCCATATTTATTTCTTCAAAAAAATAAATACCAAAATTTTTTTGTTTTTAAAAAATAAATTGTAGTATAATTTTACATAGACACACATGCGCGTTAGAAAATAAAGAAGAAATGTTATTCGTTGTCTTCTACGGATAGATGTGTATAAACTATTAAATTTTACGGAATAATCTTCGAGAAAATCATGACTGACTTATTTTATTTTTTTAGCTAATTTTAATCAATTAGTGAACTAATTGGGGGGTAGTATTTTTCCCCTCAAGAGAGCGTATTAACTAGTCCCTCTGTCCCAAATTATAGGATACTTTTAAAGGTATTTTTTTGTCTCAAAATATAAGACACTTTAAATAGATTAAGGTTTTGTTAAATGCACCAATTTTAATATTATTCTTTCTCTTTTTATAATTAATTTTCATCACTTCTCTTTTTAATGTATTAAATGATGAGTAATTTGAATAGTTTATATTTTTATTTTAAAAATATAAGATTGTTAAGTGTATTTAATGAGATTTATTAAAATATAAAAATTTATTTAAAAATATTTTATAATTTAAAATGGAAGGCAGTAAGCAATGCTTTGCCGTCTTTATTATTTGGCTTGGTGAAAAGATTTCTAATTCTCCCATGGAAAGAAAAGCATAAATAAAAATGCTACGAAAATGGAATAAAATTATTAAATATGAGATTTGGTTTGCATTGAAGTGTAAAGGAGATATTTGTTCAAGTGATGATGCAGACACGGTGTGGGTGGTGTATAGGTGGCCTTGCTAGCTTTGACATGGTTCACAAATTACATGTTGTTACCTGATTCCACAACACAAAGCGTGTCGGTTCTATTTCCCTATGAATTATTGGAAACTCTCCGTATTCCATAGGAATAACATACGGACGATGCATTCCTTTCCATCAAACCAAGCAAAAAATTTATTTGATTTCTATTTCTATAGGGGCAAGTGATTCAATCTCATGCGCACGCACACAAAAGAAAAGGTTAAAGTAAAAGTCCTAAACACTAGGCTGTGGGGTACAACTAAATTATAAATATGCTACTAGTGTTGATTCTCTGCATTAACAATGTTTTAAACGTGTAGAATTATATTTGAACGAAACCATTAACTAACTAAATCAAGGTAACTGGTAAATTTCAGGTTTGGGGACGCAACTAGGAATTGAGAGAGAGAGAGAGAGGGAAGAGAAGAGGAAGCGAGGAAGGAGGGAAGAAGAAATCTGAGGCAAGTGTGAGATGAGCATTTACTGTTTTAGAAAATTAAAGGAAATGGTGATGTTGTAGTTGGTATTAATTGGTTCCCACTGGCGGGGAGTTATGGTGGGCTTCATCCACACTGCCTGATTTGTTCCTCCACACCAATTTAAGAACAAAGAATTGTAATGTCTCGCCAAAAAATTTCATATTTTAATTTGTTATACCTTCCTCACTGGATTTCCATGACCAAGCTGCACATCTTGGGAAGCAGCGACTTGGTTGGAGCTTTATTCAACCTTGTTATCAGATATGACGGCGGAATTTCCGATGGCTCAGGGTTCGGCCAATGTAATGATTGACAGCATGTCAATCCTCATTTATAAAATATTTTTAAATAAAATTTTACATATTAATAAATTTTATTTAATACATTTAATAATTATATTTTTTAAAATAAAAATATAAATTTTAAAAAGAAGATAAGGATGAAAATTGAATAAAAAGATAAAAATATTATTAAAATAAATATATTTAATAAAACATTAATATTTTTAAAGTATTTTATATTTTAAGATGTTAAATTTTTTCAAAACATCTTAATAAATTTGGAATGGAGGAAGCATATTATTTCAATTTGGAAGGGAGTCTTTTACCAAAAATAAAACTCTCAAATAATGAAAATTTGGTTTGTAATCTCTTTAAATCATAAAACCAAATAGATAATTAAAATTAACATAAATTTAAAGAATTAAATTGATAATAATTAAATTTTAATGACCAATAATTTAAGGGACCTAATATTTTTATAATAATATAAATTCTCTAATTTATATTTTTATTTGAGAAATTAAAATTTTAATTTATATTTAATTTTTGAACAAATATATTTAATTGAGTTTATTAATATTTACAATTTAAAAAATGTATTCTAAAGTGGACGGAATATTTAATTCACACACTAACAATATTCAAATAAAACTAAATGTTACGTGTAAACACTAAAACACAATAAAGACGGGGGGGGGGGGTGGCCCATCAAACATTTCCAGTGTGCAAGATTCTAACGGTAAAGTTGAACAAGTGTACCCAAGGATTTAACTGTCCTCGGTGGAGATTTACTGACCGTCGATCCATTGGCTCTCAGGCCTCTCTGCTTTCATAAATGAGGGAGGACCATCAAAGGCATGAGTATTAAATGTTCCCTGAGCGACACGTTGCGAGCGCACCGATCTCACCATAAATTCAGTCACACTCAACCACGACCCTCCCCCACCACTTGAGAACCAAGTTCTCTTCGATCCTCCCTTCCCTTCCCCGCCTCCTCCACCTTCATCGCTGCTCATCCCAACCCACGATCTCACCTGATTCTTCCGCCCAAAACCATTCTGTTTACTCACACAAAAACAAGCCCCTTCCAAGATATTTAGGTGTTCTAGTTTTCGGTTCCAGTTGCCCGCCGGAGCTCTCTTTCGGTAACTTGAAAGCAAAGCAACTATACCGGCGAGTTTTGGAAGCTCCACCGCAACTATGGCAGTCTCCGACCACCGGAAGTCTCACTCCGACTTCAAGGTTTTTCAACTTTGTCTCTTCTGGCAATCGAGGAATGCCTCGCCGTCGTCGCCGTCGTCTGCGGCAAATAACCTTCACCTTAGTAACGAAGGAAGCCGGAGCGACAGACATCAGGAAGGACACTCTCGGAAGTCTTCGTCTTTTAAAACGGTGTCGTCTGCTGCGAGATCTTTACTTCCCTCTCGGCGCAGACTTCGTCTTGATCCTTCTAAATATCTGTACTTCCCCTGTAAGTTCTGGTGTTTGCTGTATCTCTCTGTTGGTGTCTATTCACCAAGACTCCTGTTTCTTTCCCGCAAATCTGAGAAATTTTGAAGAATGAAATATTTGACATTGAATTTTGAGTCAATCCTATTCTGAGTTGGAATTGGAGTTGCCTATTTGACTTTAGAGATACTTTATAGTATACTGTGTTTAAACTGCAAAATACACACGCTACGCTAAGCTGGCACAGTCACGTGCACATGATCACAGATATGTCTGCCTTCCCAAATCCATTCTGTTTGCACAATCTGACAATCACGTCGTTTAACTAACACTCCAAACTTATTTTATTTTGTTGCCTCCTTTCTCATTATACTCGTTTTTTTTATTTTATTTTGAAGATGTACCTGGCAAACAGGTCAGAACAGCCGTTCGGTTAAAAAACACTAGCAAGTCTCGTGTAGCTTTCAAGGTATCATTTCTGTGCCCTCGCATGTCTCCTTTGTTGCTCAACAGTCAACTGATAAATTTCTCCATCATTTTGTCAGGCCCCTGAAACACAAAAAGGGACAGACAGTACAAAAGAGATAACAGTTGCCAAGCATATAAAAATATACCTAAAATATGAAAAATGCCTATAAAATATATATATATATATATATATGAATTTTTCTCCCGAGGGCAGTATATAAAATAAAGGGTCTCGAATTGTTGGCACTAGTTTCAAGTAGTCTGGTCTTGCCATCAATGCTTGTGGGTGGTGTATGCTTGCTATACGTAGTTTTCTAATTATATAACATTGTTGGTTGTTGCAGTTCCAAACCACAGCACCAAAGAGTTGTTACATGCGACCTCCTGGTGGTATACTTGAACCTGGAGAAAGCCTGATTGCAATAGGTAAAGCATATTTTTTAAAAAAATCATTCTTTATTATTGATAGTGATTATCTTGTTAATATTTACACTGTATAACTTTTCCTTTCCCAATTTGATGGTCAGTGTTTAAGTTTGTGGAGCAACCAGAGATCAATGAAAAGATAATGGACCTGAAGAACAAGGTCAAGTTCAAAATTATAAGTCTCAAAGTGAAAGATGGAGTGGACTATGTACCTGAGCTGGTAAGTTCTGGTGACATATTAGAGTTGATCTAGCCCCAAAAAATAGGTCAATTTCAAACTTATGTTGCTTGAGTTAACTGTTCCATCTTCCTCCCCCCAGGGGCAAACTAGTGTGATTATCGTGTTCTAGACTATGTTTCGATGTGTCTATTTTTGCCGTAGAATGTTAAAATATTCCAAGAAAACAAATTTTTGAAGTGTCTAGAGGATGTTTCCCCCATATGATATACTATCGAGAACAAAATGTTTTCATGTTAGCTACAGCTTTTGTTGTAGTGATTTTATCCTGTTTTATTTATTCATTTTTGGGCCATAGCATCGGGGGATGAATAACATTTGATATGAGCCTTCTGTCATGAAGTTTGATGAACAAAGGGATCAAGTGACAGTGGAACGAATATTGCGGGCTGTGTTTAGAGATCCAGAGCGTCCATGCCCTGTGAGTTAAACTTCTCTGAAAATTGTGTCTCTCAGCACAGGATTGATGCACAATAATGACAATCCGATTTCTATAGGCTTTGGAAAAAACGAAAAGACAGTTGGCTGAAGCTGATGCTGCTGTTGAAGCTCGCGAATCTCGCAAGAAGCCTCCTGCTGAGACAAGTCCTCGATTTGGTGGTGAAGGACTTGTAATTGATGAATGGGTATGAAAGATTCATTCTAAACTGTTTGTCCAATTCAATGTTTTCATTATAGCATACCCCCGGGGCCGGGTCCGGGTTGATACATACTCATGTGTCCTGTTTCCAGAAAATAAGACGCGAGAGGTACCTGGCACGACAAGTTGAAGCTGCGGCAGAATCAACATGAAGTGAGGTTTTCTCTTCCTGCATGTGCTTTTGTTCAGGGAAGATGTTGCTATGAAACAATATTGACCATGGATACTCTTCAAGTCAACTTCTAGGGGAATTAGCTCTTCTCTGAGGCAAGGAATTGTCCTATGATCAGTTTAAGTATAGTTTTCAGAACCCATCCTTGGAGGAGCATTCCGGTGTGTACATAATAGATTCAGCCTGATTTGTGGATTAATGCCTGCTCTTGCTAGCATTTGCTTGGGAAACTATCTTGTCTGAATAATGGATGATTCAATATAAAAATATCTTGTGTGAATATATAAGTGATGATTCACATTGATTAAATGGTACTGATCTCAATACAACATAACAGAGGAGGAAGGAATACAACAGACGGCTAAGAATTTTTTAATTTCCCCTCAATCTCCTAGTTGTAAAATCGATGGCAAAACGGTGAAGCCGGAATAGTCAGAAATGAAGCTGAAATCCTAAAACAAAGTAGATCTTGTACATTACAGGCTGAGAATGGAGCCTGAATATGATAGTTAACGCAAGGGCTGAACCAAGTGATCAATTTCTAACATCATTATCAAACATTTGGCGAGAGATGCCCTGAAGGCCATGCCACATTTGATGCCCCTGAATTTTGTCGGTGTGTCGGCGGCAAAATTTTGTTGGTCCAAAGAGCCTGAATATGATAGGTAGCGAAGAAGATTTTTTTTTTTTTTTTTTTTTGGGTTTCATCGCAAGACAATGAAATTATTGAAAAACCAAAAAACTCGAAAAAATCTTTTCCTATAATGTGGTTCACACGTGTATTATTTAGTACGCAGGCAGCCACCGGCCAAGAGTTCGTTTGTGGTGCTTGATCGAGTAAATTCAAAAACATCCACTATATCATGAGAAATCCAACAAGCAATTTTATGTGGTCCTATTCGTTATTTGTTGGGAATCGTCTTCCCAATTTGCATATGCCAAACATGCAGGGGTTTAAGGGTAAAAATATTTTGAAAGTTTTTAAAATAAGCATTAAATACTCTTATTTCAAAAAAAAAAAAGCAATGCCATTTTGAAACTTTAAAAAAGGAAGCCATATCACCTCATTATTAAAGGACTGTTTGAAAAAACTACATTTCACATTTCAAAAGAATTTTTTTTACTTTTGTGATGTGAAATGGTGTTTGAAAAAAAATTTTCTGGACAAAAGCACTTTAGGAAAGTACATTTAGAGATGGCCTAAATGTAGATTTTCAAAAATTACATTCAATTACTTTTCAAATGTGAATGTAGATAGTTGAGCATTATAACTGATACCTAATTTTTTATTTGACCATGAAAAGTCAAAAATATGATTTAAAATAAAAATGAACAAATTATCAACTTGGCCCTCCAATTTCTTGAAAACACAAAGTAACTAAAGCTAATGAGAATAAAAATTGCCCAAGTAATAAAATGTGCCATGAAATTGAAAGTCTAAATTAAAAACATTTAATTTCAATAAAATGTATCAAATTACAAACTATCATAAATTAATGTCTTTTTTTGTAATTGCATATTTAAAAGAACATTTCACAACCATAATTTTTTATTAATCCAAACAATTTTCAATTTGTCAAAACTTTTAAAAATATGTATTCAAATATAAATTTTATTATAATAACTGACTTTCACTAAATTAACTTTTATTAAATAAATTTTTATCAAACTGATTTTTAATAAATTAAAAATCAAACACACGCTGAATCTAAAAAAGTTCATTGTCAAAAGTAAAGTTTGACAAAAAAATTTACATGTGTCCTCTCATTCATTCCTTGACCACCTTGTTTGAAATCTTCTCCATCTTCTTCTTTCTCTTTGGATGCAGAGTCATAATTTACAAATCAAAGAATCATCACCCCTGGAGAAAGGCCAAGGAAATAAGATAGGGCATGGGGGTGATTGTATGAGGAGAAACGAAAGGATCAAACAACCTAGAAGTTATTTTCGCATGAGCACCCCTGGAAAAAACCACCAGGTAGCATCCACAAACAAACACACAATTGAAGAAATACAGAACAAAGTGACACAACCTACAAGCACATAACTTAATTGATAAGTGATTGTATTAACTTAATTAGTGGTTTCAGTTCAATTCTTTATTATGCAATTGTATTAATTATATATTTGTTGGGAGAGCTTTATCATCAATGTGGTCCTACCTGACTCGACACATAAATAATGGGTTTGAAATAAAAAAGAATAAAGTGCACAGGAAGCACAAATTTAGGAGTCCTAGAAGAAAAATAAATTGAAGGTTCACCTGGTTCTGGTTAGGGTGAGTTGAAACAAAGCAAAATCAAGAATGACCTTAGAATCCTTAAGGGTGAGTAGAGTGTCAGCCTAATCTTCACTACACAAGAGGCAATGCTCGCTTAATGTTTGTGAATGTAAATAAAAGCTTTAGTTTTAATGTTGAGTACTCCAAGCTATGATGTTAAGGAACATTGCCATCATAGGGTCTGAGTTGGACATGGGATGTACTTATGGCTGCACAAAGGATGAATTGAACAGGACTTCAACCTAACCTAAAGTGTGATTTTTTTATAAAAAGGATTGAGTTAGGAAACTAGTAATCCTATCTGATTCTAATATAACCTAAAGCTGAAGAGGACTGGACTGTTCCAATAGAACTAAGAGACTAGTTCTAGTCTTATCTAATATCTCACTTTTTTTTTTCTTTTTTCCTCTATGAGAGGTTGCAATTTATTTCAATTTAATAAACTCAATTAAGATAATAAAATTGCTTATAATCATGTAAAGTTTCTCACAATAATAACAAGTATAAATTCATAACAATCTCCAACAACAACAAAAAATATTTTAGTTATAACATAAATTATTCAAATTAAACAACTTTCAACAACATGTCTTGAGGTCCATTACACCGAATTACTAACAAATTTCAGTAATAAAAAGAGAAGATTGATATTGGTCAATGCTAAAATTTTGCTTAATATTCATGACTTCACTAATACAAAACATAAAAACTACTAATTATTATTATAAATTAACTTATTATTATAATAATTAATAAATTAATTATAATTATATTAAATAAATTTATAAAACTAGATCAAATCAAGTGATCCAGATACTCATCTTTTATTTCATACAACTCTCAAAAAGAGTATAGTTTTTTTAGTTTTGAAAGAACAATTTTTATTTAGACTAAATTAGATTGGATTGTCCCATTTTATATCTAAATCAAAGAAGTTTCGTCCAGCCTTAGGATGGGGAGAGAGAGATAAAGAATTTGGAAGCAGAATATTTCATTCATGTACTGTTGGTGTATATATATACAACACTGGATGACAACTATATCTAAATTATATCTATCCTCTCTCTCCAGTAGCTACATATGTACAGTATCTCATATAATAACTACCACGAGATTATAGCGTTAACGATTTTATATGTAAATCAAAGAAGTTTTGTCCAGCCTTAGGATGGGGAGAGAGAGATAGCAAGAAGATGCTTCTTCATCTTCTTCTACATTTCAGTTCGCTTCTCGTTGCCGATTATTGCTCTCCTTCTTCTACTTGATTTTGAGCTCACGATCTCGGCTCAGTTTGCTCATGCCATTGTCACCGCCGCCATTCCCATTCCAAATCGGGAAAGAGGAAGCTCGGTTGGGTTAAGGAGAGAAGAAGCAAGAAGCGAGTAGCGAAGACTTAGAAGATAAGTGTCACAGGGTGAGGTTGCCACGTTATTAATCAAACGTCAGTCAGCCAGGGATTTAAAAGGGGACAACGTAACATTATTTTACCTTTTTAACACTTTTAAAATAACTTTACTACTTCTAAAAGATAAATGTACGAAGTGCTCCTTTGAGAACACCTTCAGAATATGTTTACCCTTCACTGCAATATGCAAAGCAAGTGTATGCGCCAAGGGCACGAAAGGCGTAAGAAATCTCCAGAGTCTCTGGGGACATCAGAATGGATTCTCTGCCACACAACCTGGCCAAAATATGACAAATTCCAGTTGACCATAATCAGAGTTTGACATATTACTATACTGAATCCAATGAGATACGATAACTCACCCACCAAATCCTAAACACGTGTCCAATGTTAACTAGTTTCAGAAATTTCCCCCGAGTTAAATTCAGATATCTCAGATAGGACCAATCTAACTTTTCTTTTTTTAAGATTTCATCCCATACCTGTTTCATTTCACCACTCGCTACTTTTAAATGCAGTCATGTTCCACAACCACCAAGTACAGTAGGACTTCACAAGGTTCATGAATATCGATCCTGATGGTAAAACGGGAAGCATCTTTTGGTAACCACAAAGAAAGGATTCCAGATGCGGATGACCCCCCAGCGTCTTCCCCCAATATTCTGACTTGACTCTATTTAAGCCCCACCACCATCATCTTATCTTCAATCCACAACCTGTGAAGCACCTCTTTTTGCTATCTTTTTCTGAGTTATCCTTTCATCTCCTTCGAAGTTCCATATCTGACCATGTTGAAAGGTAAGGCAGTGATTGGTGAAGCAGATATGCTTCAGACTATGCAGCACGATGCCCTGGATTTAGCATCTAAAGCACTTGATTTCTTTGATGTCACTGAAGCCACTGAGATTGCCCGCTTCATAAAGAAGGTATAAAAGTGATGTACTCTTGTTTTCAGATTCAATTGATTGTAACTAACATGATAAATTACAGGAGCTGGTAATCTTATATTACTATGTTGTCGTTACAGGAATTTGACAGGACGCATGGACCTGGGTGGCAGTGCATTGTAGGGACACATTTTGGTTCTTTTGTGACCCATTGTTCTGGCTGCTTCATCTATTTCTGCATTGGCAGCTTGGCCATCTTGCTCTTCAGAGGCTCTGCTACTCCAAAGGCAGAGGAAAATTAGGTCTCGTCGCCAGAAGCAGCCACAGCATAACATTATTATTATATTATTATTTTTAATTCCTCCTCCAAAGTTGCCACCGTTTGCACCTATATTTCAAGACAAAGCCACAGCAAGGGGTTTAGAAGTCATTATTCAGTGGCTTTTCTTTTCAAGTTTTCTTCTTTTTTTTTTCCCCCTTGAAACGTATAATGTGAAAAATTCATATAATGGATTGAGGCAATAATGTGTGATTTTGTAGCTATGGTCTCTCATGTTCTCCGTCTTTTCTTCTTTGATTTTTTTTTTTCTGGGCCAAGACTTTTCTCCTGTGATTGCCTTCTTGTTAATTGGTACAAGGGAATATCAAATCGAAAAGAGGACCATATATTTGATGCCTTTCGAAATATTCAAGTTCAGTTGTCTCTGTTATCCTGAATAAAAATGATCATAAACTCTGCTTCGGCCTGAAAGTGATCATAAAGACTAATAAAGAACATAATTGGTACATCTGAAATATGTGGGAAAAGTCTGGTGGATGATTAGTCTTCGATGATACTGTTGATAGCTTCGTGTACTGGATCAAAATTATTAAAATGATAAATTGAAGGTATACACTGCATAAAAACTTGGGATTGATTCCAGATTTGAGGAGAGACAAGGATGGAGGTTTCTAATAATATCATTTGATCCTTTTACTGAAAAAAGAATGGCTGCATCTATGGAATCTGGAACTAACTCAGCAAGCATTCGGATGAAGTTTTCACATGTGCTTAGAATCCCATTACTCGCTTTTTGTATTTTTCCTTCTTTGAATAATGTGGATTTTTTATTGGGGTTTAATTATTATTCATTTAAATTTAAATTAATTTTTGAATATAGAAAAAATTCAAAGTAATTTTAAAATTCAAAAGAAATTATTTTACTTAAAATTTAATGTAATCGTATGAATTTTTAAAATATATAATAGAAAAGTTATTTTCGGCGACTGCGGGTTTGAGCACTCCATCGTCCATATTCCGTAGCCCAGGGCCCCAGTCTGTTTGGCAAACAAAAAGACCACAAACAAAGAAAAGAAAAGAAAGAAAAGTGATTGAAAAACAAATTTAATAAGGATTTTAAAAAAAGTGTAGCAAAAAGAACCCTTTTGTTTTTGGCTTGAAACCAAAGAAAAGGAAAGAAAGAAAGAACTTGAATTATGACAAGTTGAAACTGACCCACTACTTCGGTAATTACCATTTATAAATCCAACTCTTTGTCTGTTTTTTAAATGAAAAATAAAAATGTTTCCTAATAATAAAATATAAATCTATAACTTGCACTATTAAGAAAAATAGTTAATACCATTAAACATCATCTACTCTTTCTTTCTACTCTTATTTATTGATAGAGTAATTTAGTCAGAAATAAATGTAAAAATTTCATTAATTTTTAATATTCAATAGTGACTTTTTTAAAAAAAATATATAATCAACTACTCTTATAAAATAGTAAAATGTTGCTCTTCTCATTCTATTTATGAGATAGAAAGAAAAAAATAGTTTTAAATTACCTCTAAAGCACTTTATTATTTTCTATATTTATATTTATCTTTTTTCCTTATTAAATCCTAAAAAAAGTTGTTAAAAATAATTCTTTTTATCATTATTAGGAAATAAAAGTGAAAACTTATTATATTTTAGAATAGGATTGATAAGATTTAAAGTTTTTTAAGTATGGTGAAATATAATGAAAATATTTGATAAATAAAACTAAAAAAATATATATTTTGAAACAGTATAGGAACATTTTATAGGAGCTAAAAGTTTTGCATTTAGGGGACCTAAAAGATGTAAGTAAATGAAAAGAAAATATTCCAAGGCAGAGCAACGTCGTCCAAAAGTGTCATCCAAATAAAAAACGTCGTCCAAACGTTTAAGACGTCGCGTTTTGAAGCCAAGGGCAGGCAGGATCACGGGAAGAGGGACTCCCGGGCCTCACTTATTATACGTTTTATACGTACGTTTTAAACCTCTCTAGTTGACACCGTTTCAAATTTGTTGACTTTGCTTTTCCCTCATTTCATTTATATATCTCCATTCCCTCTGGCTTCTCTCTTTATATGTAAACCATCCTCCACTCTTCCTCACAACTAATCACCATTCTCTCTCTCTCTCTCTCTCTCTCTCTCTCTCTCTCTCTCTCTCATGGCTTCTTCCACTGATCCAACTTCATTGAGGCTTCTGATTCACTACTTCTCCATCTCTTTAAACCCTCTCTCTGTCTCTTACGTGATTTTTGTTTCCATTGTCATGATCAGGGAGGACACGGTGAATCTGTTAAAGGAAGTGCCGGAGGTCATTGACAAGTTTTTGACGATCTTGGTTAGCATCGTCGCCTTCAAGAGTACAGACATGGGTCAGCATTTTTTCACAGGCCATCCTTACATGATGATCGCACTTATTCTGCTAATCGTGCTTTACTTCTCTGCATGGTTGCTTCATGTTATTGCTCCTCAGCTCCGGATTGGGAGGAGCTTCCTTCCTTTCATAATGTGCTTCGTTCTTACGATCGGAGTCTTTGTTTCTGTTTGGGCTTTGGTCATTATTTTCTAGCCCCTTTCATGATTCACTTCTCCGGAACTTTAATTGACTGTTCCTGGGAACAGAGTACAAGGCCGTCACTGTCAGTCTGCAGTTCAAGAAAACTCTGTTTTCTGATTCCTCTCAATAGCGTTTTGTCTGATTCAGTTTTTGCCTCTGTTTTTGTTGTGTGGAGAATGAACTTGATGTGCGTGTAACAAAAAGGATTTGGGTTTTATACGAGACTTTGTTTTTCTAATGACTGATCTCGTTGTATAAGTTATCTTCTTGCTCTGTTCTGTAGTAATTTAGAGAGAGCCATGAATCAGCCAAGTAGGCTATCAAGCTTTCACGATAGCAAAACCAAAGTAGTTACTATAAACACACGCAGAAAGTTTCAGATGTTCATTTCAAAGGGATTTTCTTGATTGCATTAATAATATGGCAGCACCATAGTATCTACACCTTCACAGTAATTTCCTGTAATCATTACCATATTTTAAGCTCCGAATAAAAAAAAGTGTTATAATTAAATTGAATTTACATCTGCAAAATATTTTATCAATCTTTCCATCACAAATTCAATGTTCAATTGTTATAATTTTATTTTCTTAGAAAATTTAATTAATTTAACAACAATCAAGAAGATAGTTTCACTCTGTGGAAGAGGACCTAAGTGATCCTTTTATCGGTGAGCAACAAAAAATTGATAGATGAAAGTTTTTTTATCTCATGTATATTGTTGTTAGATCATTTTGAATAAAAAAAATATTATTCAACGATGTCTAGAGACATTCACTTTATTTTTTTTTCGTAATTTCAAAATCTGTGCAACACATAGTATAAATGTAATTACCATTAAAACTGGTAATGGTTACAATGTTGGCATTGACCTAGATGTTCCTGGTTCGATTATTTATTGGTGCTCAAATAATAATAATAATAATAATAATAATAATTCTGAAAACAAAATGTCTCCATGCCAATTTGCCAAAGAAGGCCTGAAAATTGCTTTCAGGGTTACAGTCGATATGGGCCTCTACTTATGTCTCAGCTAGGGCCTCATAATGAAAACAGATAAAGTTTGGTTTGGTTTGGTTTAAACTTAATCAATTTTGTGCCTCGGGAATATTGTTTTACATCCGTTCAATGTTGAACATCTTTAGCTGACATACTTTTCTTTATACATATGCTTTCTCCCAACCATAATATTAAGCATGTTTCTTATTTAATTCAAAATACAAAGCGTTAAGTAACCTGCATAATTATTTTTTTTAACTATATCCATACTTCATTTTTTTTCTTTTGAAAAAAAATATTGCTTTTAGTTCATCCACTTTGCTCAAGTTTTGATATATATTCCTGCATTTTATTTTTTATGTTCTAGATCCTTACATTTTTTTTTTTGCAACTTTTGTCCCAACATTCTCAAAGAAATGTTGATGTGATATAAATAGTGTTAGTAATATTGATATATCAATTAACAACGTTAATCCATGCTTAAGTGTTAAACTAATAGTAACATAGAATTTTTAAAAATAAAAAATTAAAAAAAACTACATTTTGTTGATCATTTAAATGGTCCAAGTCAACCTTTTTATTTCATCAAATATAGGTTTTTTATTTTTTTCTTATTAAAAATTTCATGTCATTATTAATTTGACACACAAGCACAAAATTAACAATGTTAATTGATTTAGTAGCATTATTAATATTATTTGCATCATGTCAATGTCCCTCTAAAAATGTAGGGACCAATGTTACAAATAAAAAAAATTTAGAAACTTGAAACACTGAAAATAAAGTGTAAGGACTTATACAAAAACTCAAGCAAAATGCATGATCAAAAATAATGTTTTTCCTTAAAAATTGATGCATTAGAATTTTAATCATCAATATTAAAGTACTTATATAAGATATTTAATAAGAGTAAAACTAAAAAGTTGCAATTTTTTTAAAAAATTAATGTTTTAACTAATAATTTTTAAAGATCATAAGCCAGTTATCAATGCTTTATAAGTTTAGACCATCCCAAATTACAAGACTATCTATTTGTGATAAGATTATCTATATCAACAAAACACAATAATAAGCCTAAAGGGCTAGTTTGAACCCCCCCCCCCAAAATATAGAGGCGGCCAAAAAAAATAATTTTTAAATATTCAGGTTTAAAAAAATTCGGATCAAGTCAAATCAAGTTTGGGCTTGGCATGAGTAAAAAAAATATAGTAAATATTAATTAATTTTTTAAGTTTTATGTTATTTTATACTAAAATACCATATATTTGAGAACACTACAATAGTTATTTTTCAAAAAAAATTATATTTTCATATTTTTATTATTTTTAATTAATAAAATATTTCAAAAAAATATTTTAATATTAATTTTATATTTTGAGACCTATTTTTTTAAAAAAAGTTTTGAATCCTATACATCAGTTGCATATCCAAGAAAATACATTTTATATTTTTTATAAAATAAAATAATTAATTTTAAAATAAAAATAAAATTAGAAATACTTTAAAAAACACTCAAGAATGTATAAATTTTTGACTCTACTACGAAATAAACATAATAAATATAATAATATTTGAATAATTATTTAATTATCGGTCATACCAGACTTGATTAAAAATTAATAATAGACTAGAATAATTCCTCTTGTATGTAGTGGTTAGACAATATAAAAAGTTAAAGAAAAAACAATCCAAAAAATAGTATATTACTTATAATTAAATAATTTTATTTTATATAATATAATAATGGTCATTTTTCTCATATTCCTAAAAATGAAAAATATAATTCACCCAAAAGTTATTAAAAACTTTAAACTAATTAAAGTAATAATTTTATATTAATAGTCTAACAATGATTGAATTAAAATCAACTTAATCATAATTAAAATAATATAATTTAATTAAAATATATAAAATATTTATATATAACCATGATAAGAGCAATGTTTAAACAATCAAGATATTAATTTATAAGTAAAGAAAATATTCATGAATAAATTACATATTATACAACAAAATAGTAACATATTTATTTAAGTATAAAGTTGATAAGTTATTATTTTTATTTTATTCTTTTTGAATTAAAATAATATTTGATGCTTAATAAAATTATTTAAAATTAAAATTAATCCAAAAAATAAATAAAAATATTTTAAAAAATTTTCATGTATTTAGGCTTGTTCGAATAAGTTAGAAGCTCGAAGGTATTTGAGTTGAGGTTGGTTTTATAAGTTTTTTAGAAAAGACAAGACATTTTAAGCTCAATTCAAATAAACTTGATCCGAATTAAGCCTGACTCACTTGAATTACTGGCTATACACAATAATGATAATTTACAAGCTTACTTGTTCGAAACAAAATTATGAACTTTTAAAAATACTTATACACACTTAACATTATGTTAGAATATTATTTTAATTCTCTCTTCATTTGAATGTATTATTTAAAAAATATCATCAACTGGAATCTCTTTTTTTTTTAAATTATGTTATATTTTAGTACAAAAAAATTCTTCCAAATTAAAATTACCTTTTAATTCAGGACGGAGGTATCTTTAGCAAGTTTGTATTAATTGGAGCTCCAAACGTTCATCAGGACACGGTTAGCCCCCTTGGCTTAAAAAGATTCTATAGAAAAATTTAAAGACGCACTTTTGACACTTTCTTGGACTATCTAATTGCCTTTTCTTTGAAAAATTCACTTTAATTTCCCATTTTTTAGAAAATATTTTGTTTACCAACCAAATATTGCTTTAAAAGTTGGCATAAGGGGGGGGGGGATTACATCGAACACGTCCGCATATGATAGGGGAAGTGGAGATGATTCAAAAGTCAAAATCATCCTGATTAGGCTTTGGTGAGGTCAACAAGGCAGTGTAGAGGCGAAGTCTGTCCTCTCCAAGAGAAGAGCAGCGAGACACAGGCCTTCGAGGCCTTATGAACGACAACGACGCCAAGGTCAGGCGATGCTTGTGCCTCCTCCACGCGAGCTGAATGGCAACGGCTGCCCAAGTTCTCCATCCCGGCGAGTAATACCTGGCGCTCCTCTTCACCTTCTCGTTCATGAACGTGTACCTGAAGTGCTGCGTCACGTACTTGACGTCCTCCGCTTCGAGCCCAAACGCCTCCGTCGTTTCCAGGGTGATCAGCGTCGACGACGACGGCGGCAGCCGCTCTATGAACGGCCTCCGCAGACACCACGAGAGGAGCTCGTCGCCGCTGAAGTTCCCTGGCCCTAACATGCAGTAACTTTTCACGCCGTCTCTCAGAACTTGACTGCTCTGAAGATGACCTCTCACAACAAACAGCATTCTCTGAACTGGATCTCCCTCTCTGGTTATCTGCATTCATTTCTTCAATTAATACATTTATTTTTACACGCCACTGCCTTCCTGATATCAGAGGAGTTTATTTGGTGCTTACTGTTTCTCCTTTTGTGAATATGAGTGACTTCACGCGGTCGCAGATGTTCTCCAGCACCAGTTCATCCATGTGCTGAAACAGGGGAACCTACAGATTACAATATAAAACGTATTAGGATTCAAGGTGAATCGGGCTTGTTGGGCCCAAAATGGAGGTGGGCCAGGGAGAAGTGAAGATTACCTGCCGGACCAAGTCCAAGCAGAGATGGTACTTGATGTCTCTTCGGAGGCCCTCCGGCAGATTTCTGATCATCTCGAATTCGTCCACTCCACGCGTCGCCGCCCATCGCTGCCGTTCGTAGTTCCTCACGCGCTGCCGAAACCCAGGAGGAAGGTGCCTCTTCCTCATCCACCACTCTATGTTCCTCATCTTCAGTTGCATCGCTTGCTTTTTTGATGTCGTTGCATGCAAGAAAACCTGCCCCCATGTTTTTAATCGTTAATCTCCAAGTTAACCCTTACAAAAGTAGAAATTTTAAAGTTGGACTGATAGTGTTGTGTGGGTGTGTGTGTGTGTGTGTGTTTTTTTTTTTCTTCCCTTTTTTGCCCCCTCACCTTGATGTTTCCAATCAACATGGTGACCAGAATAAGGCCGCTGGTCAAAACAATGATGTTGAAAACCACTTCTAGCCATTCTGTTGTGCTCTCCAGGTTCCCGAAAGTGCTGGTCAAATCAAACGAAATTCATTAATTAGAGATGATTGAGTAACCATAAAGCAAAGGATAGAGGAATCAAAGTCTCCCCCCCCCCCCCCCAAAAAAAAAGGATAAAAAAGATACCAGCCAAATGGAAAATAACAATGTTTAGTGGAATATAGCTTTCTTCAATTCTCGATGTTCACATGTATCATGCACTTTGTTCACATAAAGCACACTTTACTGACAGTTTGACTGAATCACAGTGCAGATTTTGTGACAGCTAGTGAACTTGACTGTTCATTGCTTTCATAACGCGCACGTCTATATTTACTTACTCCTCTGGTCCGGCATATAAATTACCTTTTAAAAGAATAATTTAATCTATTTTATAAATTATTTATTAATAAAATTATTTTATTTTAAATTAAAATTTTTAAATTACCCTTAAAAATAGGAGAGAGAAAGATAAAAAAATAATATTATATAATTGACTTACTTTTTACTTAAAAATTATATTTAAAATTATATTTATTTTTATTTCTTATATTTTTATTATATTAATATTGATAAAGTTAATAAAAATAAATTATAAATAAGATCAGAGTGTTAAAATCAACACCAGCACTCATTTTTAGACAGAACATTCGATGAATGAATTGAAGGGCCAATGCCTAGTATTGTACTGGTGATGAAAATAAAACTTTGGGGACTATTACTACTGTAGGCATCCAAGAAACAGGGATGCTGATCGTTATGTGCTAAAGAACATGCTATAATATAATAAAAGAAAACTGAAGAGGGCACTGATACATGTATACCTTAGCGTCATGAGGCCCCAAAAGATAGGGAAGAGAATCTTTTCAAGTCGGCTGTCGTTGGTGACGAGCTGAACGGTCCATTTATAAGCTCCATAGTCGTAGTTGTCAGAGCTGTCCAAGCACGTCGACCTGGCTTGCCTGTTCTCTGCCCATGACTGTCTTGCTCTGTCCCTCACCATCCCATTGGTTCCATAATATATTGGTTCCTTGCAAGACAGTATTCCTAGCCCACACCCGCTCGTTTTCCCGCATTGCTCTTTCAGACACTTGGCCGCCCTCTGAATCCCTAGCAAGTACCAGCATGCTCCTGCTGCCTGTTTCAAATTAATGCTTCTTCATTATGCTATTGATATAATCAAGCCTAATCATTTATATACTAGTATGACCCATGCGTGTTAATCCCGAAGGCAGTATATATACATATAATCTTTAAGTTTGTCAGGCACGTCTTCCTTTAGGAGTCTTCATTTACAGAATAAAATATACTCCGCTCCTCGTCGTCTCTTCCTTGGGATTTTCTACTGTAGGTGTCATTTAGATAATGACACATTCCTGCTTTTTTGTTCTTATAATGAGCCAACGTTATTATAATATATGGTTTCCACTTTATGCTGTTTCAAAAGTGGAAAGGGGGAGGGAGGATATGATTCGGGTAATATCTTAAGTATCATTCCAAAACTACAGGGAAAGCAAAACAAAAAAGAAAGAAAGGGATATCAATTAATTAAATATACTTTTTAACCAAGGCCAGGAAATTTCTCACCTGCTTTTCTGAGGTGACTTGGGGGAGAAGGGGATAACAATAATAAAAGTAATGAAAAGATGAGCCAAGCGGACAGAAAGGTGGTGCGTATGTGAAAGACTTACATGGGAGGCGACAAAATAGGCGATCATGTTAAGGGCAATTCCCCACCAAACGGTGCCAAAAATGTAGCCGGAGAGGTTTTGCAAGCGTCGCAAGAGGCAAACAGAGTGATATATCTTTGGAAGATATTGAAACAGAAACATTATTAAGAACACCGTCATCGCCAACGTCACCGATCCATTCTCCAACAGATACGGGATCGTAACCCATAGTACAATCTGCGAAAACAAAAGGGAGTGTGTGCGCGCCTTTTCAAACTTCAGATATAATGGCCATAAAAAATGGTGTTACTTATATGCACATACATGAAAACTAGCTTATGGCATTTCCTATAAATTTTATATTTAATTTCCTCCTTTTGTTCCAATTCTTTTTTCTGAAAAGCTTTTCCAACCTCCTTTGTGCACATATACAAATAGCGCAAAAGTTCGTACTTTCTTCTGCTTTAAGTATCCTTCTTTTCTTTTGGAACACTCCTCCAGTGTTCGAACAAATCTGTGAACATATATTATTTTTCCCTTCTTTGATGGGAAAAAGATCAAAATAAATTTAACGTGGAGTCCAAAACATGCATCATTTTCATGTCTAGTATGGATTTACTGTAATTTTCTTGACCACAAATTAATTACGTTGGATTTTTTTCCTGAAAAAAACTCTAGCATATATATCTACTATGTACAAAGGGGACCAGTCTGTTTTACAACAGGACAAAGGATCGACTTGGTTGTACATGAAATTGGTGGCGCCCTTCGTCTTCATGATTTGACCCGTGTTACTGTCGATTGGAGAATCATTCAGAGTGAGTTCCATGCATATACCGATCAATGTACTATATCGAAACTCGTTTATTTTTTAATAAATTGCATTATCTTAAAAAAGCATATTTATTTTTTTCCCTAATAAAAGACTAGGCTTCTGCTAATTCCATTCATACTTTGTTTTGCAAAGTAGAAGTTTTAATAGTCTTTCCTAATATCAAATCATCTCACGCACACACAATAGTAAGAAAAGAGATCAAGTAATAATTAGTGTAGGAATAACTGTCTTTTGGTTAAATTTTTTTTTTTCAAAAAGAAAGGTTGTTCTATTTTTTATAAGCACGAAAGATTCTGCATATGCTTTAGCTTTTGAAGAGAAATGCCAATTCTTTGTCCTCCTCTGCATTTTAACTAATTAAAATGACTCTTTGTGTGTGTGTGTGTTATAAGCAGAAAAAATCTTCCTAGACCCATGAGAAAATTAGTTTATAATAAACTAAGGAATACTCTGTTATTGGGCTTAATCAATAAATTTTATTAAGATAAACATCTTTTTTATATTTTTTTAAAAAGAAATGTATTCTCTATGAACTGGGTTTATCTTTCTTCCAGATAATTTACTGCAATAAAAGTAACAAATTAACTAAAAATAAAAGGCCCAGCAAGGGGTTCATGATAATAGGTAACACCAAATGGGCAGGAATATTTCCTTATTAGATTGAAGGAGTCATTGCTCATTAGTACATAATAAGCCTGAGAAGGAATATATGCCTGAGAAGGAATGTAATTATTGGCTGTCAAGTTGTTTTAACGACGACGTTTTTCATAACTCATACCAGATACATCGACACAAGAATATATAATGAACTTGAAGACATGAACAATCACGTGAAAGAGTAGTACCGTAGCAGGTAACCATCGTTTTCTGCATGCATAATAGAAAACAAGTAATGTCATGCACTTGTCCTCTCCTCCATTTCACTCCCTTACTCACTGTACCCAGTACTGCCTCATCTTCCCTTTCACCCTCCTCACCACAAATTATTTTAATCCATAAAAATAATTGAAACCAAAAAAAAAAATCCAGAATTAATTAGGATAAGACACGCAGAGAAGATCCTCATCCAAAAACCAAGAACAAGGCAATTTCTACCAAATCACTACATATCAACTCAGCTAGATTCTTCGAATTAGCTTAATTATTGTAGGAAATTAAAAGACTGTTTATTATACTAGAAACAAATGAAAAAGAAGAGATAGGAATTGTAACCTGAGGTAGAGGGAGTATGACGAAGAGGTCGAAGAAGAAGCCTGTCTTGACCTTTAGATAGCGAAGAGCGGCCAAGCGACGGCTCGTATTGACGGCCAGGCCACTTCCGAAGTGGCGCTTGCCCATTTTGAATTGCAGCCACATGTTCCAGAGGTGCAAGGCGTCCGTCATGCAGCGGAGAGCCATGACGGTGACGGCGAACCATCCGTCGACGAAGAGGCACATGTACGTGTCGCTCACGGAGAGGGCGTAGAAGAAGAGTGGGTCCACGAACAAGCCCATCGCACACACCAGCAGGAACACCCTGTTCCATTCTTGAACCCACTTCGCCCTCGGGTCCAGCACCTTCCCGCCGAAACCGCACCCTCCAGTCACCCCTTTCCCCCGACAGCACCACCCGACCGCCTTGTCACCGTCGTGTGTTCCGTTGTTCCCTTCTTCTTCATCCGTCTCCTCCTCCGCGTCGTCCAAGCTGTCTGTGACGCTGTAATCTTCGTCGTCATCTGTTGTGTGGTGGTTATCCTGCAACCGTGAAGCACGTGAATCGTCTAGCTCTGTGGTGGCCATGGAGTGGAGAGAGACCGAGCTCTTCTGGAGCGCAGGGGTCTGCTTCAGTTTGGATTTTCTCTGATGGAGGAAGAGGAATTGAAATTGAAATTGAAATGTGGAAACAAATAATTGAAGAGGTACGTAGGAGTGACTAGGAAGTAGGGGTATGTGTGTTCCTCTTTAGAAAGAGAAAAAGGGACGGAATCCTGGAGGAGGGAGGCGACAAAGTTTGTTGAATGTACCAGATTGCCCTCCTCTAATCATCTTCGATCTGGCGGTCGCTGATAGAGTCGGAAATTCGGCCAAATCCGAATAAAATTCAAAAAAAAAAAAAATAAACTTAGTAAAATTGTATGCTCCCTCTTTTAGAAAATTAAAACATTTTAAATTAAATTTTATTTTTTAATAAAATAATTATATAACTTTAAATTAATATTATTTTTAAAATTTATTTTTATCTAATAAAACGTTTCACTCTAAAATAAATATAAAATAATTTATTTATTAGAGACCTTTAAAAAGACATAACAATTATACTTTAAAATACTAAAAATATCTTATATTTTTAAAAGAAAAAAGTATTTATCATGTTCAAGCCCATTGAAGTCTATCTAGGTTAGGCCAGCTCAAATAGTCTCAAAAAATAAAAAATAAAGCTTGGCCAAAATACCTAAAATTTTTTTATTAAATATATAAAATATGGATTAATCTTTTAAGTTTTAGACTATTTTATATTTAAATATTATATATTTGAGTACATTGGTATAGATATTTTCTTAACAGAATAAAATTATTAGTATTTTTATTTTTTAATTTTCAATACATAAAATATTTTAAGATAATATTTAAAATATAAATTAATTTTAATTTTAAAATTTCAAGACCCGCGTATTTTGGGGGGAAAAACTTAAGTCTTCTACATGTTTCAACTGTTCCAAAATGCATATTTTATCTTTTTTATAATAATAAAAATAACTAATTTTAAAATAAAAATAAAAATTTGTTTTAAAAGCAGACAAAAATTTAAAAATGTTAGGGTCGAATTTGTTTATTAAAGACAAATAAATTAAGTCTTCTCACAAGATTCATGAATCCCCATTTACTATAGTACTACTCTCTCTAATTTTATTTATAAAATAGAGAGAGAATAATTTTTAATTTTATTTATAAATCATGTTATTAAATTTTTATTATAAATTTTTTTTACCCTTCATCAAATATTGGAGAGAGAAAATATGTTATTAAAGTGTGTATATTTAATGGGATCAAAATTAAAAACTTATTAAATTTTAATATGAAGTTAATGAGTTTTAAAATTTTTTTTGATACTAATAAAATATGTTAGAAGTAATTTATAAATAGAATAAGAGAAATATTAATTATATTATTGTTTTGGTAATGATGCTTTTCAAAATCTGCCCATGAAAAAGTTTTTTTTTGTCAAACGTCCATAAAAAAGTTAGCTAAAAAGAATGTGCATGGCACTTTGATTGAGGACGTGTAATCTCTCTGTTTTTTTTAATAATATTTTTTCCTCAACTTCTCAATCGTAATTATTAATATTATCGTGTTAAATGAATACGTTTTAATAATAAATCTAATAAATTTTCATGATTAAGAAAATTGAGAGAAAATGATGATAAAAAAAAAATAGAGAAGTTTGGAATCCCTTAGTCGAACAGCTGCAGCATTGACCAATCTCGGATTTCACCTCATCCCCCACACTGCACCTACTAGTTACTACTTTTTTTTTTTTAGATTTTGTTTGCTACTGTTAATTAGATGCATCTATATATCAAACGATTGAAACTTCATTTAAACCCAAAAATTAAAATAGTTGGACAAATCAACTTTAAAATTTTTTAGTGCGGAACAAGTTGTCTTATTTTGTTCTTCAAATGTTAGTTTTCACATTGAAAGGTGGGTACTGTTTTAGTAGGATATATCTTGGGTGCTCATCACCCTAATATCAGGGTGATACAATTTGGAGCATCCGTATTTTAAATTTAAATAGTGATTTGAATGGTTTAAATTTAAAGAATTAATTTAATATTTTTATTTTATAATTTTAAAAACAAAGATTTATAAAAATTATAAAAAAGTTTTAATAAATGTTTTCATGATTGATCTAATTTATATTTAATTTTGAGGGTCCAATATAATATTAAAATTTTTATATTTTTTATATATTGATTATTCAAATGTATTCTATATAGTCTAAATTTAAAATTTTTAAATTATAATCTTTCTAAAAAATATTTTTTAAAAAATCTATAGTCAAAATATTATATATTTTATTTTTTAATATTATTTTCATAAAAAAATAAAAACTTAAATCTAGACCTTGCAAATAAAAATTTAATATTAAATCTGAACTATCCAGTATATATGTAGATAGTTAATTTAAAAAAATTATATTAGACTATTCGAATTATATCAGTATTATCTAAATTGATGATAAACATGTTTATCAAAAAATAATAAATTTTTATTTTAATAAATATAAATATAAATATAAATATAAATTTTAAAAAATCTAAGCCATCCAGATTAAATCTGGATGGCCCAAAGTTCTTTTGATTGATGAGCACGTTGGTGCTTGAAGACGGACTCGTTATAGTACGTGTTTGGTGATGCGTCGTTCTCCCACATTTTTCACCAACGCACTTCATATATGATTATCAATTCGAGCTTTCACAGATTTTGAACAATGATGTCGTTCCGACAAACAACTCAAAAGGCTTACCCTTTTAAAAGATCGATGTTACTCCACAAAACAAAAAGAATCTTAAGATGAATATATGTGTGAATTGTGTTAATTCTACTTTGATCAACGCATACAACATATATTTATATATGAACTCAATGTCGATCTTCTCAGAGCAGCCGCCTGAAAGTGAGTGATCATGTATTATAGCTAGTTTCCTTCACTTTGAGAAATTTTAATTTAGACATAAACCATGATAAATTATAGATGAAAATTTTGTTGTATAAATTGACAAGCAAAAAGCCATATTGTTGCTTATAAGGGAAGGGAAGGACAGGTTCATGACTTCAGCTATAAACTTGTAGAGCGCATTAATTCCGTCCCTTACCTCTATTGAGAAGCCAATTTCAATGGACTGTCCTGATTTATCTTGTATGGAAAAAATACAATGATTTGCTTATTTACAACGATACGACAGCACCATAATTCGATTTTTTTTAAAAAAATAACAGAAGTATTGTGTAATATTTTGGGACTCGAGAGATTCGTCTTTGGCATGCCAAGGACATCATCTTTTGATTACACATCAAGAAGCATTATATGGGTCTTATAGCACGATTTCATTTAACCCCAAATGTTTAAATGCACATGAATTTTCACATTAATTAATCAAATCCTTTCATATATCTCTTATCCTGCTGTCCAATTTCTTTTGTTTAATCTGTGAAATAATTGACCCCACTTACTGATACTTGCAATCAAACATTATTTACTAGACGATCCTTTAATTACACATTGATTTAAACTACAACAGAGCACCTTATTTGAGCATATCAATTGTGATATTAAATTGATTTAGAAACGACATAGCATTCTGCCTATGTTTTCATTATGAACAAATAATTGTTAAACAATACTCCCCCATCTAAATGTATAAGACACTCTAATTTTTAACAAAATTATGCATATAAATAAAGTTCATTAAGTATATTTTACGATTTTATTTTTTCAAAACACAAGTATAAGTTTTTTAAAATACCATTCATTTAACTAATACTCCCTTGAGTCCAATATATAAGCAGTTCTTAGAAAAAAATTGTACAGTAATAAAATGTTTATTTTCATATATATATATATATATATATTTTACTCTTGATTTCAACTATCAACAGTCCAACACAACACCGGACAAGCATGTATGGGGGGCAAAGTTACAAACTCTCTAGAATCTGGGGGACTGAAATAAATTTGCACATTTTACAAATACAAACTAAAAAATTACAAATCGATGGCGCAATTATGGGGTCCCTTCTCCCGCGTTCATCTCTGCAGTGTATCTCGTGATGAGTGAGAGATAAATTTATGTGGAAATCTAAATTAATAAATATAAAAAGTAAAATAAGAAAAAAATTTCACCTGTACTAAATTGCTTATATTTAATCCAAGATTAATGAAAAAAATGCATGCTTATATTTTGGATAAGAGAGTGTATAAGGTTATTTGTGAAACATGAAATAGAGAAGGTAATAAAAAAGGAAATGTAATAATGAAATAAGAGTCATTAATAAAATCATAATTTTATTAAAGTGCTTTATACTTCAAAACATGAATCATTTCCAAGACTATCTTATAAACTGAGAGGGATTGGGTACTGTAGTATATGTCCTTTTCGTCTCATGCATGTGTTACTTAACAAAACAAAAATAGCAAAGTAAAAAAAAAAACTTAGACAAAGTTTAAGTTTTGAAAATATCACATGGATAGGGAACGATTATTATGAATAGTTAGTAATTGAAATAATTGAAAGGCGGTAATATTACTGTATTAGCGAGGAATAGAAAAGGCAGAGAATAAAAGACGCTAAAAGCAGCTGCGGAGCGACAGCGATGAACGAGATCCGCGCGATATGTTGGATTTAAGTCGGAGATGGAGAATGAAAATGATGAGGAGAATCTTATGGTGGGGGAATAGAATGTGAAGAGGGGCATGATTGGGAATGAAAAAAAGTGGGGGCAGAGAGTGAGAGGGGCATGGGTGAAAAATGAAAATGATGGTGTCCGATTTAGTGCAAATAAGTTAAGAGAAATTGAGGTTCGAAGCAGCTTCTTATGTTTTGTTTGTCTGTCGTTCATCAATTTACATTTATTACCACTGTCACGGACATCAACCACCTTCACTTTTTATCCGTTGCATCGTACCCACCACCGTTCTTCGTTTATTACCCTCTTTCTCACGCATCCCAAATTATTAAAAAATCTCACAAAAGTCAGGCCCGAATATAATTTAAAATTTAAAATTAAGGTAAAAAAATAATGATTTAATTAAAATACATTATATTAATCAAATATTTTATAATTACTTTATTAATAATTTATAACAATAACTTTAACTTTTTATAATTATAATTTAACTATTAAATATGTAAAATTATGGTTATAAAAATTAA